CGGTACTTTGATGACGTGGCGCGCTGGGATTTGTTGGTAAAAAGCATAATAATCCACGCGTTGACCAATTCGATCAAACAACAAAAATAACATATATATATATATATATATATATATATATATATATATATAATACCCTTGTGACACGGGGTTTCATCCCGTCTGACGGGGGATGTTACCGTGCCACGGCAAAAAGCCACGTGGCACGGTAGCTCTGCGCATTGTCAGCGAATATTCCTGGCGTTTTTGACCAGTTTGAATAATTTTTCGAGGTTTTTTTGGGCGGTTATTTTTTCGCTGGAATTACGCGAAAAATTCTAACTGATACTTAAAGGGGACTAAAATTACCATTTTACCCCTAGCAAGCATCAAAGTCTATTTTTCGGCATTTTAAGCACCTAATATGGTCGGATAGTCGACTAAAAGGTGTGAATCATCTGCGGCCCATGTTCAGGGATAATCGAACCATCATACACCTAGTTCAGCAATCGTCGGCTTTCCTCAGGCATGGAAAGCGTTATCGGTGGATTTTTTCTTCAAGTATAGAAAACTGCCAAGTCGGCTTTCCTCAGGCATGGAAAGCGTTATCGGTGGATTTTTTCTTCAAGTATAGAAAACCGCCAAGTCGGCTTTCCTCAAGTATGGAAAGCGTTATTGGTGGATTTTTCTTCAAGTATAGAAAACCGCCAAATTCCTTTGTCGGCTTTCCTCAAGCATGGAAGGCATTATCGGTGGATTTCTTCAAGCATAGAATGACACCAAATTCATTCGTCGACTTTCCTCAGGCATGGAAAGTATTATCTGGTAGGTTTCTTCAGGCTTAGAAAGCTACCAATCTCTTCAGACGGCCTTCCTCAAGCATGGAAAGCATTTCAACAAACGTCATCCGGTGGATTCCTTTAAGCATAGGAAAATACCAAACTCATTTGTCACCGATACACTGGTGTCAGATAAGTGTTCTATCCCTTTACTCTTTTATCTGTGGAAGTAACATTTTTCTACAGGTATCGGCGCATACAGAATGATTTAGGATCGCAAAACGTCTTAAATCATTCTCCGTCCCTATCGGCTACTTTGACTATCGTTTTTCAAAACTGACGTTTCTACAAACTCAATCAAAGTGGGGGCTTCTGTAGACACCTAAAAATGTCTCCCCAAAACCAAACCCGATGATGAACAACCTTTCACCGCCACTATTGGTCGGGTTTAGTATTTAATCCCGAGAGCGCTTAAAAAATCGTATTTGATTAAATTCATATTTCTGAACGGTCCGTGGATTGGTCTTGATGTTTGGTAAAAGCATAGTTTTTATTTCAGCCCAAACTTATTATTTAATTTTTAGTCCAAACCCTTTTTTATTTTATTTTTGGCCCAAACCTTTTGTTTATTTTTTATTTAATTATTTTCTTATTTTAGCCCAAATAATAATAAGTCAGAAAAGGCCCGAAATTATCAATCGGCACTTAAAATGCCGAACGAAATTAGGGTTAAAAATGTATTTAGACGGAAAAGTGGGCTGGAAATTCCCGCGCGACGGCAGACAGCCACTGTGTCACGGGAATCCTTCCCGTCTGACGGTGGGATTTCCCGTGACACGGGAAGTCCGCCGTGACACGGGACATTCCGTGTCTTTTCCGCGTAAACCCTTAACGCGTTTTCTTTCCCGTTTTCTGAAAATTTCCCGCGTCACACTAAAAATGTACCGTGTCACGGGAAAGTTTGTCGTTTGACGGTGGGACTTCCCGTGTCACGGTACAATTTTCCGTGTCACGGGATACTTTTTTAGGGTTTTTATCATTTTAGGGTTCCGTGTGCTCCATCAGCACATTTTCCCTATAAATACCCCCTCATTTCTGATGTACGGGGCAGGAATTAACTTTCGGATTTATTTTTCTCTCTTCTATGCTTTAGCCTAAACACTAGCCTACCCTTCTCATTTCAAAATTCCTTCTTCAAGTGCTCAAAGGAGTCCATACTTTACTCGTGGTTCTGTCCTTAAGCCAAGGCGTGAAAGGTAGAACTGTTTGAGGGTTTGGCCCCAAATCAACTCTACTTTATTTAATTTAATTTAATCATTGTTTTATTATTTCCTTGAAGTTACTAACTCGTTTATTATTTTGTAGTTGCAAACAAACAGAATCAAAGTAAGAATCATGTTCCTTTTATTTCTATTATTTTTCTAACGACTTTATGTTGTTAGAATTGTGATTAAATTGCTTCCAATATTAATGTTTATTCTATTATTATTATGATCACCATATTGCATGTTTAAAGGGAATATGTAATTGAAAATCACGCCTAATAAGATAATTTGGACAACCGGTTTAGGATCCTTTTTAATCTTGTTATTAAATCAAGTGATCACAAATATTTTAGAATTATATGTGCATTAATATTCAACCAATTTAGTTAAATAATACTTTGGAGCAAATTGAATATTTGTTTGTATGCCTTTGAGATCGCAGGATTTCTTTTCAATATAAGAATCGAGTAGAGGCCAATACGGGCGAATGTGACTCCATGACTCACTTCGTACCATCATCCCCGATTCTCCTTTCGTGGTTCCGAACCATATGGAGTTAGTAATCTCATGGATTATGAATGGGGTGTAACCTTCACGGATCAATCGTTGTTGCCTTCGTTGTCCCTTATTCGTGGTTGCCTTAAATGATCCGTGAACGGTTTACAAGTTCCTTAAAAACTTGTTGGCGGCTCCCTACTTTTCTTGTCCCTAATCGTATTATGTCAATTCCCACTTCCTATGAGTGCCAAGCATATTCACAACATGCTTTTAACGTAGGCGCACTTCGAGCAACGCCTACACCTATTATTAGGGCAGGTTCAATCTCTTTTAGGTTGGATTTGTACCTTCATCCCCAAACTACCAGTCATGGTTCCAGACCTATTGGAGTTGACGATCTCCTGAATCGTTAAGGGGTGTAACCTTCACCTTGTGAACGGTTTACAAGTTCCTAAAACTTGTTGGCGACTCTTTTGCTCTATCTTCTTTCCCTTTGGATGCCACCATGCTTTAGTGTATGATCACAATGGGGTTGAAGTTTGGGGTAATGCTTGAAATATTCCCTACAGCAGCAGTTACCGCTATTCGTTTAGAAAACTTGGGAAAGTCTTGAAGGCTGACCGAAAACTCAAAAACTCTGACCGGAAACCTTAAACGTATGGCGGAGCTCTTGAAGATTTAGGGAAGAAACACTATCTCTCTCTAAAAAGCTCTGACTTCTCTCTGAAATTCCCAAAGTTCCAGAGTAACAAAATGAAGTCAAACATCATATATTTACAGGAAAAATTATGGGGCAAAACGGTAAATCTGTCTTTCCCACCTAAGAATTCGAACAGTTACTTTTTGAAAAAGTTAACCTAGAATTCAAATGGTTACAATTCCGCCACTTTAAATAGAAGGGAATGCAAATGGGCTGATGGCACGTTAAAATAGATAGTCGGCATACTGCGTCCGATTAACCTCAAGACTCAGAAGTGTCCAACAGAGGAATTACAGGCGAACCGGGCAAAGCGTCCAGCCTAAGGGAGATATCCCCAGATAAGATGAACGGTACTGTCCGTATACCAAAGAAGCACTCGAAACTTATGTGAATACTCGGGCATATCTAGATTAGTGGAAAATTAGAGGAGGCGACCCATAGAGTACGAGCCAACCCCCTCTGAAGGGCAAATATTTGGGGTAAAAATTATTCCAAAATGTGGACCAATTTCATAGTGACATGTGGCCTAATAAAAGGTCGTCACGTGTCACTATAGGAAGATGACACGTATGCAAGCCCTATAAAGAGCCCCTGAAAAAAGGGAAAAGGGCCTCCTTACATCAGGAGGCCAAAATCCCGAGAAAGCCGCAAAACGGCGCCCCCCTAAGGACACGTGTCCATGCCTGATTGCGCCACTAAACAGAAAATGTCATTATAGGGTAATAACCCTAAAAAGCATAGATCCCCACCCCTATAAATGCCCCAATCATTTATGATGGGAGGGGGGATTGTGACATAATATTCAATAGAGCATTAATAGCTCCAACTTCTCTCTACTTTCTCTCTCTTTAGCTTTTCCGATTTCCTGTTACTAATTTAACCGTCGGAGGCGAATATTCTGGCAACAAAATATTCATGTTTTGCAGACGTCTGAGCCGTCTATCCAAAGAACGAGACCAGTTTCCCAGAGGAGATCACAAAAATACCCGAAATAAAACATAACTTGATATGTATATATAGAATCAATGAAGATTTGTATATAATATAATGCCTAAAAATAAAGTGATGAAGTATTGGCTTGATACAAAATGAAACCTACTAACCACTAAAAGGTTACAAGGCATTTAAAATTATAATCGAAATCGTTTAACAGCTTGAAACCGACCAGCCTAAAATAGAACTGAATCGATTAACAAATGATTTTTTAATTTTGAAACCGAAAATTGATTCGGACCGTGTTTTACTAAACCGAAACTAGTCCAATTTGAATAATGTTAAAATATATAAGAACCGAACCGACTATAATCCGAACTGAAAAAGAACCGAATCGAAAAAAACTGTACCATTGTTAACCCGAACCGTTTGTAACCCAAAATCCTAACCCAAAATCGTTTGAATCAAATTTATAGCTATTTACATCGAACAGTTTATAAACCGCAGCTTGTTTACACCGAACCGTTTACTACTCGAGTCGTTTACAAGCCGAATTGACATAAAGCTGCAAAAAAATAAACATCAAGTGTACTGAACCAATAATAATATGAATTGTTCCATGCTAAACTAAAACTGAACTGACTGACTATTTTAATAGTGCTATGTAAAACTCACACATTTACATGTTTTGTTTGTTTTTTTTTTAAAAAATGTGTCTAATATTTTGAAATGGAGAGTGTTAAAAAAATAAAATAAATAAATAATAATAATAATAATAATAATAATAATAATAATAATAATAATAATAATAATAATATACTTGTATTTCTTTTAGCAAAAATTGTGTACCCATAGTCAACCCAAAAGCACTCACCAAATACAACCTTATTTTGGGATCCAAAGAATATACTATAAAAATTAGTACACTCACACACACTCTTTCCTTACTTTTTCATGTCAAACTCCCCCAATCTCTCTCTTACTCTTACTTTTCCCCCTCTTCCACGGTACTTTCTTGTCGGCATTCCCCAACTAAAATCTCCACTTTTTTGCAGTTAAACTCTGTCCTCACTTTCTTTACAAAACAGAGATTCATTCTTCCTTCCTAAATATTATTGCTTCTTCTACTTCATAAATCAGAAAGATTTTGCATAAATTAGATTCTCTTAAATTCCTACCCCTTCTTTTTCTCTTTTATCCAAGATTTTATTTTCCCCTTTTATCTACCACTTTTGAAGATCTTGAGACAGAGGTACAGTACTTTTGTCTATTTCCTTGATTTTATTGGCTAAATATCTTTGGTAGCTTTTATTGTACAGTCGGTGTACCATACAACCAAGATTCATTTTATTTTTGCTTATTTGTTCATTTGGGTAGTCCAGATGAACAAATGAGAAATAAAAAAAAAAAAATAAAAAATAATTATGTCGTGTGTTTGATAATGAACCTATTTTTAAAAAAAATCCAAATTTATTTAATTTTGTACTAATTTTTATTTTTGATTACAGGGTTTGTTAAAGGGAAAAAAAAAAAAAAATCAAAGAAAGGGTAGGTTGTATACTTGGCATGTGATGATTAATGTGATGAATCCCAGCAAAGAATCCATGAAAGAGGTAGAAAGTTGTTTAGATCGTCAGTTATGGCATTCTTGTGCAGGAGGTATGGTCCAAATGCCAGAAATAAATTCCAGAGTAATTTATTTCCCACAAGGTCACATAGAACATGCTCAAGTTAATAGTATTGATCTAAAAAATTACCCAAAAATACCCCCATTAATTCCATGTAGAATTTCTGGGATTAAGTACTTAGCTAATCAAGAAAATGATGAAGTTTATGCAAAGATTAGATTAGCACCTTTAAGAGGAAATGATTTTGATGATGAAGATGGGTTTATTGGGAGTAATTATGATATGGAAGGGTCAGAAAAACCTGCATCTTTTGCAAAAACATTGACACAATCTGATGCTAATAATGGAGGGGGATTTTCGGTACCACGATACTGTGCTGAAACTATTTTTCCTAGGCTGGATTATTCAGCAGAACCCCCAGTTCAGACTATCCTTGCTAAGGATGTTCATGGGGTGACCTGGAAATTTCGGCATATTTACAGGGGGACGCCTAGAAGGCATCTTTTAACAACTGGTTGGAGTAATTTTGTTAATCAGAAGAAGCTTGTTGCTGGGGATTCGATTGTATTCCTTAGGGCGGATAATGGCGATTTGTTTGTAGGGATTCGGAGGCCTAAGAGGGAGATCTTACATTGTGGTGGATCTTCCTATGGAGGAGGATTTGGTGCTTTTCTTAGGAGTGATGAGAATAGATTGGCTCGAAACTTTGAGGGTATTGGGTCTAACAGTGGTAACAATGAGAAATTGAGAGCGGAATCTGTGGTTGAAGCTGCGAATCTTGCTGCTAGTGGTAAGGCATTTGAAGTAGTTTACTATCCTAGAGCAAGTACACCTGAATTCTTTGTCAAGACTGGAGCTGTAAGGGCGGCGATGCAAGTGCAGTGGTGTGCAGGAATAAGATTTAAGATGGCATTCGAGACTGAGGATTCTTCTCGAATCAGCTGGTTTATGGGGACTATTTCTTCTGTTCAAGTTGTTGATCCTATCCATTGGCCTAATTCACCTTGGCGCCTTCTTCAGGTACTTGTTTATTTCATGATTCTCTGCACTCCCAAGTTTTTTTCATAAATTTGTCAATTATAGTATGTCTACTATTAAAATATGATATTCAAGTAAAAAATTTAGGCTTTGAACAATAAGATTAAGCTGCTGAGCTGAGTTAGTTGATTGAAATGAAGATTCAATGTGATGGGGTTTACAGAAGATAAACTGAACTTGTTCATTATTGTAGAAATTAAATCAAATCACTTATTTTGTAATCTAGTTTGGTTACGTCTTTAATAATAGATGTCTGAAATCTCGAACAAGAAATTGAAACTCTGCAGTGTCAGCATAGTCTTGTTCTTTGGATGAGTCGTTGTAATGTTGAGATATTATATTTCTTGCTCATACATCTAACGTCTTGGTAAATTATGGCTTTTCAGGTTGCTTGGGACGAACCTGATCTACTCCAAAATGTCAAGCGAGTGAACCCATGGTCGGTTGAATCAGTGACAAACATGCCACAGATCCATATGTCTCCATTTTCGCCTCCTAGAAAGAAGCTAAGGCTTCATCAAGTCCCTGAAATCCCTTTCGCTGACCAACTTCACATGCCAGCATTTCCTAGCAGAGCCTATGGACCTAACGGCTCGTTATTTGGTTTAGCAGAGGTCCCTGCAGGTGTACAGGGAGCCAGGCATGCCCATTTCAGACAATTTTTGTCAGATCATATAAACAAAGTAAATTACTCTAGTCTTCTTTCCAATGGACCAGAGCTGAAATATCACCACGGTGGCTTCTCAGCAAAAAAGCCGATAGTCAGGGAAAACTTATCATCATTCCTTACAATGGCAACTCTCCAAGAGAGTCCTAAGGAGAACGATATGCCAACACCGAAGTTTATGCTGTTTGGAAAGCCCATTCTAACTAAGCAGCAAATCTCCGAAAGCTCTTCCAGTGATTCAGCAAGAACTGCATCAGACAGCAATGCAGACAGGATGGGAAACTCATCTGATGATTGTAACGATACATCATTGAACAAGTCCTCTGGTGAAGGATTTCCCTGCAAAGTTTTCATGGATTCTGAGGATGTTGGCAGAACTCTCAGCCTTTCGGCCCTCGGTTCTTGTGATGGCTTGTATAAGAAGATCGCGCAACATGTTTGGCAAGGAAAGGTCCTAGAAGCCGAACAATGTGCTCTCTAGACATCATAGCCTAGCTTATTGTCGCGGCTAAATCACCACTTAGCTTACTGTCAACATTTTGGAAACAAGCTCTGTGATGTTCTGACAGAAGCATTTGTGGACTTGTGGTTACGAATTAATCTCGCGTTTTTTTTAAATTTTCTTTGGGGATACTTATAAATTATCAGTTATGTATTTTACTTCAAGGCGTACAAGATATCGAATCTGCAAGTCGTTTTGTAAAGGAAACGGCTCCTATCCATTTCTGGGTTAGTGACCCTGAAATGGCAAGGAGCCCATTCCGCACCTTAATTGTAAGAATTTCATTAGTGAACTCTCTTATTGAAGTTTAAATCTTTGCTAAATTAGTTCATTTTCTTTTAAATACATGAATTTATGATTCCACCGGTAATTTAATTATTAGTGTTGCTAAATACATGTAATTGATTCCTTCAAATAAAAAAATAAAAAAATAAAAATAAAAATAAAATAAAAACATGTAATTGATTAGCTTTTACATTATTCACACACTTTTACGCCCTGTTCCGAATTATTAAAAACAATTGAACTGAATTGATTGGGGCCGAATCGAACTGAAATGAATAGTTTATGAGATAAGAAATTAGGTTCTGAACTGAACTGAAATTAACTATACAGAATAGGCCCTAATCTTGCTATGGTTAGCCTCGTAGTGAGATTTGATCCCACAAGATGCATATATCTCCATTTGATCAAGTCTCACTGTTTAAGAAAGAGAGTAGTGTACGTAGCTTTGTCACTCTCTTCGGTTTTTTTTTTTTTTTTTCATTCATTTGAAGTCTTGAGAGATTGATTCTACGGGGTAATTGGCAATAGAATCTTGTAACTTAACATAATCTAGTAGATGCATATACTAGTATTTGCATTTGAAGTCTCACTGTTTAGTCTCTTACTATCTCATACTGTTTTTTTATTCATTTGAGTTTTTTTTTTTTTTTTCATTGTTATATTTTAAAATAAGCAAATAAAATATTAAATGAGTAGATATAACGTTATGCACACCTTTTACCCAAGTGTATATAAAATTGTGTTAAACAAGATGACTAAACAAGGAAATATGGAACGAGTAGAAAATAACATTATATGCACCAATCACCCAGGTGTATAAAATTGTCTCACGTTAATAAGATGACTAAACAAAGAAATATGAATTAAGATTGAGATGATGGAGTAGTGACATTACTTCCACCTCGTATCCCCGAGGGATAAAGATTAAGCCTCATGGGAGATGGGACACATTTGAGGGATTTCCATTATCTCCACCCCTAAATGAGCCCCCTTATCAACGAGTTAATTTGAAGCTTTTTTATTTATTCGAAATAATATATTGTATATATAAGCCTTTAAAAATACTTTCTCCGTCCCTTAATATAATGTATCTTTCTCTTTATTATGTGAGAAAAAAATGCTCAAAAAAGGCATTATATTAGGGAACGGAGGGAGTATTTAATACGGAGTAGTAGCAATTAAGGTAGTATTAAAAAAAATGGAAAGATAGCGATTTAGTTAGCGCATTCCAGTGAGCGATAGTGAGATATGTTGGAAATTGACCAAAAGCGGATGATAAGGCATGAGATGCGGTAAGGTTGTGCTGTTGGTTTGCTCGAAGGTCAAATTCGCCAACCATAAAAATAATTATTAAAAGTCAGCAGCGCACCTGCAACTTCAATTACCAGACGCAAACATTTGTCAATTCTATTCAATTGTCTACTTCTCTACGGACTACGGAGTATTACAAACAACACAACAATCTACATCTTATTCCAACAATCTTCACACGTGGGGTACTTCATCCTCTTGGTCTATTACGTTACCATCACTCTCTCAACTCTCCATTTTTTAAAATTAAAATTATAAAATAAAATAAAATAAAAACATTAATTTAATGCAAAGCCTATTACTAATACTGACCTGAACTGTAATAGATCTAAATAATGCTTTGTTTGATTGCTTGAACGCCTTAATCTAATAACTTGGGTTGTCTATCTAAATCAAGATACAAATATTTTAGAAGGTCACTCATCCGAATACTACTCTCGATCATTGTCGCTCATGTTAAGCGACGTGACAAAGTTTTATACTAGCTATTACTCGCCTACCGTAACCCTTATCTTTTTATCCAGTTTTTGGATTGAAAGCAGAAAGCCCTACTACATTTGAAGTATGAAAAATTAAAATTGTTTCGAGATAGAAGGAGTGTCATTTATAGAATACATTAGTGGTAAATTTATGTGTGGTTGAGAGGTTTTTATTATTATTATTATTATTATTTACTAGATTAGCTCCGTGCGATGCACGAATATTATAAGAAAAAAGAGAGCTATTTAAATAATACTCCCTACAAAAATCATAGGATATTAGGTAAACAGCTATCAAAAGGGTAAGTAAAAAATTGTGAAGAGTAATGTACAATATTATGTATTAAAATATTTTGTAGTCAATATTTATTTTTTTTATAAAAAAAAAATGTGAAAGAGAAAAAAAAGTTAAGGTAGGAAAATTTTGAAGGAGAAGTTGACATGTGTACAATTTGGATAAATGAATGATGTAAGCAGTTGTTCTTTTAGTATTAGTTATAGAAGATTATTATTTTTTTATTATTATTATGTTTTATTATAATAAAATTCGTAAACTGATACATTTGATTTTGACACACATCTATTTATAATAAAATGAGTATGATATTGTTCTTTTCAATTATATTTAATTTATTATTATTTATTTATATATTTTTTATATTACTCCATTGTCAATACATTTGATTTTGACACAAATATTAAAAAGGTGTGATAAAGGCCTAGAGAACTGTTCACATTTACAAAAATGAACTGAACTAAACTGGTTGAAGTTGAACTAAACTGAATAGAGCTAAAATGAATATTTTAAAAGAGTGGGAAATTAGGAGCTGAAATGAACTGAACTGAACTGAATTAAATTTATTGAAGATGAACTGAACTGAATTGAAATGATTGGAGCTAAACTAAAGTGAACTGAAATTAAGTTGAAGTGAACAAGCTCCTAAAGGGAAGGGAAGGAAAATAATCATAGCTCAATTACCTTCAATCTTTTGCTAAATGGATAACTTTACCTTAAAAGTACATTGTCAATTTAAAAAAAAAATTTAAAAAAATCTCAAATAGAAACACACTTCGTCAAAAAAATACAAATTCTTAAATGAACCTGGTTCACACTAATTTATTGTGGACCACTCACCACTGGACCGCTAATATTAGAGAAACTATTATTATTTTATTAATAAAAAAAAGTCACTATAATAAAAATAAGGTCACTATGTTGAAATAAAAGTTATTTTGGTAATATATAAGCTATAAGAGGTTAAATTTTTTAATGAAATATATTATATACTAGTCAATATGAAAAATAATAGTCACTATGTTAAAATTAGGGTTATAACGTTGTATTCAAGTTCACAATAATATTAAATGTTATACAAGTTTTAATAAAGGTTACTGTGTTAAAAATAAGGGTCACTATGTTCAATATAACGTCAGTTGTGTGTGTATAAATATCGGGTCCACAATAATATTATTGTGGACCAGGTCCACGCAAGTCTTTTTGTCAAAAAAATAGGGAACCTATAAAATTATGAGTAGTAAAATTATCATATAAAACTAGGTTAGTTCCCGTGCCTTGCACGTAAATTTTCAATAATCATTTTTAAACTATCGTTATAATTTATAATCATACAAAATAAAATCTAAAAATATAGTTGACAAATTTTGATCAAAATAAGGAATTACAGGTATAAAATGTGTAAAAAGTTATCAAACTTATGTTAAGAATGTCTTTTTTATAGCTATAAAAATATTTTGTGTTAAAGATATGTCAAATTTTTTATTTTTTTTTATTTTAAGTAATTATATTGTATAAATTTAGAGAGCTATATTTGTATAAGATTTGTTTCTTAAAAAATAAAAAATAAATAAAATACTAAGGACACACCAGGAGATGACACTTTTGGAACCAAAAAACTGTTTTTTATCTCAAAATTTTAGGGGTCGTTTGGTTAATATAGGAAGTGAAAATTCCCATGAACTTCTAATATATGGGAAATAAATTCCATAATCAAATTCATGGGAATTTCTCAAAGTTGTTTGGTTAGTAATGAGGGAAGTTAATTCCCATAGGAATTTTAACTTACATAAGGGGGACTAGGTAAGTAAATTCCTACATTTTGTGGGAATTGGAAATTCCTAGAAAGTTCTACTTCCCCCATTTCACCAAATTTTATTCAACCAAACAACTTACTCATTTTGCAATTCTTAGAAATTTTCAATTCCCATAATTTTGTATGTAAATCAAACAACACCTTAGTCATGAAAATAATCTTTGAAAAACATAAAGAGTACGGGGTATTCTGAAAATCAAAATTATGTCAACAAAAGGATAAAGAAGAAGTTTGACTTTGAAGTTTAAACTCAAGAGGCAAGCATGGAAATTAGGAATAGCTGATCCTATGCCGCAATAGCTGGCGACAATGAATCACTGCCTAAAATTGTTTCAAATAAAAAAAAATAGTTAGAAAATCGAAAACGGAGAAAAGAAATTAACGCGACATTAACACAACATTGGGATTAGCGTACAGCTTTGTATGGTGATTACCACAGGAATAATGATGAATTAAGTGTAGTCTTTAAGAGTTTGTCGGTCTTTGCCTCACTCCTCTTGTTTTTAAAGTGAAAAATAAGGGGATTCTGTATAAAATGATAAAATCAACGAAAATACGGAGTAATTCATATGGAACTCCGTATTTGTTTTACTGCTAGTAACGTTCTCCTTCATAACGACTATTGAGCTTTTGTGAGGCCGTTCAATCGACTACCCGAGAGTAATTAGCAAATTTCTACCGTCACATTTTTGAAAATTTTGGAAAATGTAGGTCTTAATCTTTTGAGCTACTCTATTTGTTAAGCCCTATTATGCTCTGTTGAAATTTGCTTTCGCTCAACTTAAATTTATTATGCTTTGCTCTCTTATAAATAATAATAATAATTAATATTTCAATTAGGCTTTTTTTTTTGTTTATTTGTGTGCTAAACATTGAATATTTAAGGTTTCATCGTTTCCGAAATTATCTAGAAGGTCATATGAGTTTTTTTTAAACAACTATTCATCAGTGGATCTCAAGCCGAATTAGTGCTAACTAACATATTGTATTGCTTCGATGAAGTTTTTTTATTAAGGCGATCGTTGTTCGAATCTGCGATGTAACTAGTTATAGGGTGATTTGTACTTTTGTTGGAATTGTTGATTTCCTAGGAATTGTTTGTAAGTGTCATTTGACTATATTTCATTAATGAGATTC